CTTATCAACCATATATACCCTTTCCGATATCCATGGCTTCAGCGCCTTGGTAGAGTTGGTTCCCGTCTTCGACGACTGCCAGCCAAGGAGGCGATGCAAAAGACACTCAAGGACGGCACATCTTTTGAGCTTTTAGTAGCGTTTCAGAGCTGGTTCAGTTCAGGCCACAAAGAGCTTAATCACCGAACTGACACATAGCATTTGCCCAGGGGCACCCAAAGAAGTGTGTAACGCATGAAATGCGACATGAGGGCAGAACTTTGCAGCCCAATGTGCATCCTTTGCGTCTATGGTCTCCCACTGCATATTACCATTTGTTGCTTGTTCTACAAAAATTGTCTTCTGGAGTGAGTGTGTCTTGATGAGTCTGGGTCTAGGTCACAAGCACCTGTGCATGTTCTGGTATCGTGAATGCATGCACTTGTTCGTAGTGCACATTCGTCATTTTTTGTCAAACATTTTGAGGTGCTCCAAGTTCGCAGCAAGCTAAGCCTGGTTGCCAGGACATGCTCACCAAGAGAAAGAAAGCCGAACAAGAGGCGGAGAAGAAAAGACTCCAAGAAGAGGTGACGCCGCACATGCACCAAGTCCTCACATGAGCCAAAGGGACCCCACAAAGATGATCCGTAGGCTTGGACGAGGGCTTGCGTAGGCTGTTGCGCAGGAGTCCTTGTCCATAAAAGAATAGAAATAGTAGCGTCCTTGTTCCTAGTAGCAAGTCCCAGAGCCCCTGGTAGCGTCCTTGCTCCTAGTAGCAAGGCCACTAGCCCCTGGTAGCGTCCTTGTTCCTAGTAGCAAGGCCAGGAGCCCCTGGTAGCGTCCTTGCTCCTACCCACCTTGGGCTCTTGTCAATTCCACAAACTCTGAGTCCTTGTGTGCGCTCCTCGCTGGTGATGTCCGAGTCTTTGTATGTGGTCTAAGCTTACTCCTCAGTGCTAAGGCTTTGGCAACCTGAAGAATCAGGATGCAACTGCCTTATGCCTTTGCCCCCCCTCACAAGGTTGTGCAAGTGGCATTTGTGGCAGATGCGCATGTCGCAGGTGAACACTGGACGCTTTGTAAAGGTCGCAACTTCACATTGCTTGAGCCCAGCGATGGGTGGATGGTGCACACGGCAAATTTACTTGTAGGGCCAAGGAGCTATGTTCATAGCTTCCGATCGCTCCTAGTAGAAATGCCCTTGTGACTAGTAGCCTCTTGTTCCCTGTAGCGATGCCGGGAGCTACTAGTAGCTGGCTTGCGGCCAACTTGATTGCGCCACCCGTCCTCTCCACCCTTATGTCAATCAGCCGCGTGTGTGACGGACGTGGGCCCCACGTGGCTCGGACTTTTTTTGGGAGACAGACGTGAATTGTCAACCATCAAGTCGCTGGTCTCGCGAGTCTCGCGATCAGAAGTCGACAGAGCCCTTTAGGGAGCGAAAGCTCGAAGAAGTGCCAAGAGTGTGGCGACGGGCTGGCTTGATAGACCCCTAGTAATGCAGGCCCCATCAATCCATTGCTACCGAGATCACTGCAAGGAGTGCTTTTGCTTCAGCCTTGGTAGAGTGGCCACAAACACTTGTGTACATCGCCAATCCGGGCATGTTTGGAGCAACTTCGCCAATCCTCATCAGTTTGAGAGGGTGTTTGGGCAAGCCAGTTCATTGCGTGTGCCTGTATTGCCGGCGCTCAGATAGCACATATGGTTTGGCAATGTTTGGCATTTCTTTACTTCCTTGCAATGGCGCCACCCAGATGCCCCTGCCATTCCTGGCGATTTTGGCGTTAGTTGGATTGAGCTAGCTGTTCATTTCATCCTCTTTTCGGGCCGTGGCCTCCCGCTGTGGATTCTTGGCAATAAAGAGAAGATCTTCAAGCCGTACGCTTTTGACTCCCCGGAAGCCTTGATTCAGCCAAAATCCGCCCGTGCTTTGTGCCATCAGGCCTCTACCTTGCGGGGCATCGTTAGATATCTTGAAGGTACAATGCAATGCCAGTTGTTCCCGCGCTACAAGAAAACTTGCTCTTCATCTCTGGTTCGTTTAGGTTTCCATCGAACTCTGGTCGGGGGGATGGCGGCCCGACCCGCTATGCCAAATTCCGCTGTTGCGATTAAACTTCTTGCTGAATATTCAGCCCTTCCCGAGCAACCGTATCCCCTGAATGTTCGACTGCCTTTCCCGGTATGCAGTGAATATGCTTCCGTTTTTTCTGATATTCTGATATTCCAAATGAACCTGCGCTTCATGCTCGAAGAAACTAAAACCAGAAAGTCCGCAAATTCATTCGGCTTAAAAAATCACTTGATGAAGTGAATCTTGACTGAATGCATCCTGCCGATAGTTCACTTTTCACTCTTGACCTGTGCTTCATTCTGGTCCTTTGAGTGGTGGTTTGCACGTTTCTTTTCACACTTTTTGTTTGTGCTATAGTCATACCCTCCTGTACCCCACATAGTGGAAGGGCCGTGAGGGGCGGATCGTGGACCGCGAGATGTGTGGGGCAAGCCAGTTCATGTTTTGGTGCATCATGAAGTTTTATGCCCTCAGAAAAGGGGGGGGCATTCACACTTGCAATGACAGAAATTCGTGGCCAACATGTGCGAAGGGTACCCTCGCACGGCTTCGCCATGCGAAGCCACGGACGGGGGAAGCCGGCCTCGCACGGGGTGAGCAGATCGGTATCGATCGCCACGAACCGCTGAAGAGCGCCGCCGGTTGAAGCTCGACGTTGACTGGAGAAGGCAAGCTGTAGAGTTTCCGGTCAGTCTTTACAGATCGAACGAGCAACGGACGTGGATACGAAAAAGACAAGTGGTCGAACATACGCATGATAGCCAACACACTTTTGTCGCACATGGAGCCAGTCCTGTGTCGCAATCTGCGCGAAATGGGCATTTTTAAGGTTCTTGCTTTGTTTCTGTATTTCTGTTGAAGCCAAAGGCCAACACCATCAGAAATTCAGAACCCTTCTTAGTTTTTTCATGCTCATCTCAGGAGAAGAAGAAAAAGGAAGAACTTCCGGAGCAGGAAATTCCTGATGATGAGTTCTTCAAGCAGTACATGCCGGGAGACACAATTCGAAATCAAAGCAGCTGCGGCAGAGTCAAACATGAAAATCGTTAGTGGCACAGTTCTAGGCTGGAGGCCATCGCTTTTGGGTTGGAGGCCATCGCTCTTAGGTTGGAGGCCATCGCTAGTAGGTTGGAGGCCGTCGGTTGTAGGTTGGAGGCCATCGCTTCTAGGTTGGAGGCCATCGCTATTAATACTGTAACTCAAAAGAAGAGCTTTTCTAAGCCTTTGGTACTGACTCCTTTGGACAAGGATTGTGAAGTTCATGTTGGGAGATGCATTATTTCAACACGGTCCCACGAGGAATCGTTTTTGATCTATTTTGCTTTATTTTTAATGGTTTGATCTTGGTTCACTGGAGAGTGCGTTGGCCTAGTCTAGTTTGCCCCCAACCACTGCCCAAATGTCAGGTAAGTACCTGCTCAGAGTCCGTTGTCAGCTGCTTACTACAAGAGGCCGCTTGTTTGAAGAACTGACAGATAATAGGCACACACTTTGGATGCAGGCTTCCTAGTATCAGTATGGGAAACATCATCAACCCCGTCATTTGGTAGAAAGCTTTCACATCCTGTTTTTGATAGACCAATACCCGTCGCAGGCGAACTCCCTCTTTGGGAATGCTGCCCTCTGGACGATTGACAAATCGTTGTTGATTTGTCGGCTGAGAGAATAGAAGTGTGCGCAGAGCTCCGTCACATCACTTCTTCAAGCCACAAATTTAGTAGCGATGCCAGGAGCCCCTAGTAGCTTCTTGCTAGGATTGTTTGGTTTCTGTTCCACTCAAAGTGTGAATCTTGATGCCACTTCGACAGAACTCTAAGTCGCTTCGCTGTCCAAAGCCCGCCAAGATGACCAGGTTCGAAAGCAGCCCAAACCTGAAAACATCCATGTGATTCTGAGCTCATGCTATCCAACAGAATTTCAGTAAAACTCCAGTCATGGGTCTTACAAGAGTTATCCTAGCCCAAAACCTGCCTCAAAAGTGAAGGGTGAGGATCCTCGCGACCCGATTCATTTTGTGTGCCCGCTGGCCATCGCTGGCCTCGTTGCCAGCTCAGTGGCCAGTGGCACAGCTGGGAAACCTTTACCATTGGAAAACCATCAGCTTTGGCACATTGAAAACGCCTTAAGTGGGAAAAAAACAGGATGCGAGACACGCAGGTTGAGGTTGCTTTCAACCTCTCACATGGTCCAAGATGGGACATGGCTTGAGTTGTGAGACTGACAGATTTGTCAGCAAAGCCGTCAAAAGATCGCGGTTTGATTGAGCAATGTGAGCCGCCAACCATGCAATTTAGACTGGACTGCCATGCTTTATTCTGGGGGTAACGAGTAGTTTTGATTTGTGTTCGAAGAAGACTTCAACAGTGAAGCAAACAGATGCAGGTCGGATTCTGGAAAGAAACCTTTGCCCAGCTCCGACCGCTCGTTCTGGGTGACTCTGAAGGATGGCTGTCTCAGGACAGACTGACTCTGAATCTCCAATGGAAAGGGGAAAGGGTCCGGAAAGGGTCCAGATCCGTGCCTGCTGGGAACCACCCAGCAAGAGGATCAGGTGCAACCATTTTAGAGAAGATGGAATCGTGGAAATCAGATGAATTTCCTGGGGGGTTGAAGCTTTGCATTGTTGAGAGTCTAGAAAAAGCACTGAAGTACTCATGTTATATCGGTTTGATGATTTTGGAACTGCATGCACATGACCCCCCTGAAAAGGAACCCATTGGGGAAGGATCACCCAGCAGTGAACCAACCAGTGAAGGGATTCCGCAGAAATAACACTGATTCACTAGTTGGTTCGAACGTAATTGCATCTAAGCGTTTGCGGTCTCGATTTTGGTCGCTGATTCAGCTCAATCAGAACATGATCACCATATGAGAACCCAATCGGGAACTGAGGCAAAGATCAATGTTAAGCCAGCAAACCGATTTTCTTCGTATCCAGATGCATCCACGGCCAACATCTCGGATGAACAACCGAGCGGACGGAATGCCAACGACGGGTGGAGACCATTGATGGGTGAAGGATGATTGCAGATGCGGAGGCACGTGAGGGTTGAAAGTTTGCAAAGGCATGAGGTTCCCATCGCAAAGCCTGCGCAACCAAGTCACTTGTCGAAGCTGTTGGGGTTCAGCAACACATCAATAGTTGTGTTTTGTCTTTTTATTTTTTGTGGGGGACGTGCATGTGCCTCTGCAGGTAGTTCAAGGGCCGTGCTTTTTCTAGCCGCTAATTCACTGGTTTTTTGCGCTTTGGTTAGTGCCCATAATATCCCATACTACCGATGTGCTGATACAGCTGGCTTCCCCCCTGCGACAGGCCAAGGGAGAGGGAAAGGCACGAAGGGGGAAGAGATAGACCGAGAGAAACGTTGTAGACGTCGTTGTATTGCAGTTTGGATTGATTGACGGATTGCAAAAGCCACTGGCTTGGGACAGACACGGGAAGGGTTACACATCTCAACTTGAGCAACACTGATGCCGAAGTGCAATCATCTTGAGTGTCAACATGTTTTGGTGCAGAAGAAAAATCCGCCTCACCGCCTCCGGGATTTGATGACCTCGACTGGTCGGTCGAAATCCACCGTCGGAGCCGTCGGACCGTCAGGCGGCGCGAGAGATGGGTGCACCTGTGAAGTTGGACGACCGAGAAACGCCACAAAACGAGTCGTGAAGGACGTCAGGAAGGGCTGATAGGATGGTGAAATGATGCGAGGCATGGAACTGAAATCAACATTCTCTGGTGCCACAACTGTCCGAGTTGCGCATGTAGAGCGAACCTTTATTTTTTCTTTTTTTTTTGTTGGAGGCCATTGCTATTCGCTCGGAGGCCTACGAGGGTACATTCTTTTTACATGTAACGTATTGCTTTTCCATGTTCGACCGAGGTTTGGTGTGACCGAGCCGATTTCCTTGGGGATGCCCACCCAGGTGTCGTTTCTTTCTTTCTGAGATGGAAGCCACGTCCCGACATGGTCAAAGAGGATGAACGTATCTCTTTTCGAAAGAAACAACAGATTCATCACCACCCCCTTGCGGTGCTTGACCCCCCCCGGGGGGGTCAAAATTGTAACTTACATTTTTTGATTTCACAACAATAGCATTATATAGCCCTATGGGGGGGGTGAAAATTGTAAGATCTAGGGTTGAGGTAGCCTATGTGAGGATGTTACTTTTTTTGACCCCCCCCCTCAAAGAGGTCTTGGCCTACTTCTGGAGACTTTGAAAGGGGGGGGGGTGGAAATTGTAAGAATCTATGGGTGGGTACCACACAGAGCAAATTACAATTTCCCCCCCCTTGTTGTACGAGTGTGTTTTGTAATAGCTTTGAACCTCTCTGCTTCGACAGTTTCCACATGCCTTTGGAACATGAACTTGGGCATCTTGAGCTCAAGATTGAACTTAATCCAGAGATTCTCGCTTTGCTTTCGTGCAGCACAAATGGCTCAACCGAGATCAACCGAAAGTTAGAACAACCGAAAGGGAAAGGGAGATAAAGTGGAGGACTCGATGCTCTTGTCTAAACATGGTGTCCCTGCCACTGGAGATTACAATTCTACCCTAGACATCCTTGAACGACCTGTACTTCTTATATAAAATGTTGGAGCAATGCTTTCCACAAAAAAACATGCGCAACACACACTGTACAGTGCAAACAAATGGCAACCTTACAATTATACCTCTAAAGCGACATGTATCTGGTAAAGCTCTGAAGCCCCTCTCTCTTCCAGATATGTTTAAGGCCACTGCAACCTGGGAAAATACTACACGGAATGTATTTTAGTGCGCCCACAAGTCCATATCACAATTACAACCTTCTTCTCCGACTATTGAAGCTCGTAAGAGAAATGTTGAAGCCGGAACATGAAAGGAAAACACTGCGCAGGGTGTACCATAGCGCAGCCAGAAAGCCATATTACAATTAGTTCCCCCCCCTTCCGCACTGGTAACGTCCTCCCATAAATGTTGAGGCAGGCACAGCCCAGGAAAAGCACCGCACAGTGTGTGTTTAGTGCACCAACAAGTCCACATAACAATTAGAACACCCTTCTGCCACTCTTCAATTTCGTAAGAGAAATGCTGAAGCCAGAACATGAAAGGCAAAAACACTGCACAGGGTGTACCATAGTACAGCCAGAAAGCCATATTACAATTATATAGTTCCCCCCCTCCCGCATTGGTGAGGTCCTCCAACCAAGGTTGAGGCAAGGACAGCCCAGGAAAAGCACCGCGCAGTGTGTGTTTAGTGCACCAACAAGTCCACATAACAATTAGAACACCCTTCTGCCACTCTTCAATTTTGTGAGAGAAATGTTGAAGCCAGAACATGAAAGGAAAACACTGCACAGGGTGTACCATAGTACAGCCAGAAAGCCATATTACAATTAGTTGGCCCCCTCCCGCACTGGTGAGGTCCTCCAATACATGTTGAGGCAGGCACAGCCCAGGAAAAAAAACACACAGCACGCACTACCTTAGTAGAGTCTCCAATGACCCTTGTCCAAGAAAAAGATGAAAGAAAACACCTTCTTTTACGAAATGTGCCTCTTTTGTTTGCGCCCTGTCACATCCTCCTTAGACTGTGTCCTGAATGAATTGAAAGGCGTCTTTTTGCGTTTCACTTGAGCAAGATTCACTCTGTTATATTATTGACCTAGTGTACCCAGCAGGAAATATTACAATTAGACTGCGTTTTCCACTGGCCAGAACCTTCGGGCGCAGCCGCTACATGCCAACACTTCCAAGGGAAAATGCGGCACTGCGCAAACTTGTGATCAACCGAAAGGGAAATTGTAAGTTACATTTTTGAGGGTGAGGTAGAAGCATGGACCCTCACCCTCAAAAATGTAACTTACAATTTTTGAGTGCGTGCAGGCCGAACGAACACACACGAGGGTCAAAAATGTAACTTACAATTTTGACCCCTGTCTTGTGAGATGGAGGTATGTCAGACCTGTATGTTCAAATTTCACCGTTTTCCAAAACCTGCATTTTGACACACCCGAAATTGTAAATTACATTTTTGACCGCCCCCGGGGTAAGGTAGTAGTGATGCAGATTCACTTGTTTTGGAAGCTTCAAGAAATGGTTGGCCAAGGGTGTTCTTGGGAGGCAGAGCGAGCATTGGATGAGCAGCTGCACGAGGCGCTACATGTTGATCGATATGTTGCGTTCAAAGAACTGCTTGGTGAAAGAGAATGGGAACCGCATCCACATGGATCAGATAGATGTGAAGCAAGCACCATTTGCTCTCAATTTCATTGGTGGCTTGATACGGCACGGAAGTGCTTCGAGTTTGCTTGATGTTCGTAGGAGATGCGCCGCGATGCACCTTTAGAGACAGAGGCCAGCTGCCATGGGACAGTGATGGCGGACTGCCATCACTCTATTTTTTGTCCTCTCTTTTTTTGGTGGGCGTCAAAGCTTAGATGTTCTATTTCCCAATCGACCAATGGCTGCAGGATATGACGACTTACCAACTCGGGGTTGACTTGGGTTTTTTTTCCGTCGCCCAGGAAAAGATGCGCTTCCGGGCTGAAGTCTTGATGGAGCTGAGACGGATCACTCAACAATGGGTTCAGGAGGCCCAGAGTCTCTCGAACATGGAACGCATTGTCAATGTTTGCCTTTAACTAGGGTGGAGGCCATCACTCTTAGGTTGGAGGCCATCGCTGGTAGGTTGGAGGCCATTCTCTATTAGGTTGGAGGCCTTCGCTAGAAGGTTTGTTTTTGTATTCTTCATTGTTTTTTTTTCTTTTCTCAAGTAATGTTTGCCTTTTGGAGGTGTACATGGTGACATGACCCCCAAACTTGAAGTCTCATGTGTACACTGTGTACATGAAGTCCATTTTCTCCTTTTTCGGCCACCGTGTTTTGATGTTGATCACTCCATGGTCCGGTACAAGAATTGATCAGTACCCAGTTGGCCTGTGCCTTCCAGTGACGACTATTGGATAGAGGTACTTGAAAAATCTTCTCCAATGACATGAGAACAGTTCAACGAACTATTCAGTTGCCGAACTAACTAGTCTAGTGGCTGTACTGTACTGCGAATGTTGCAAGCACTATGGAATCTTCAACTATCCATGTCCAACTAGGCCTCACGACCGACCTCATCCAGTCCAGGCTTGCATAGCACAGGGAGATGAAGACTTGGCGTCTCGAGCCGGGTCGAAGATTTTTACCTTTGGCTCTTACAGGCGTCGCGGGCGGGGGCCATGGGGCGGCGAGGGAGGGCTTTAGGGCTTTAGGGCGAGGCCGGCGCTCGATGACTTGACAAGACCACCTTGACGAGCTCGGACGTGCGAAGGGTGATGAAAGATCAGATGAAAGATTTGTTTCTACAAGTTGGCTTTCACAGGCTTGGTCTCATTAGCCCTGGCTCTGACATCGATGTCCTTTGTGTCGCGTTTGGAACCACAGCCGGCAGCGTCATCCATACTGATGTGAACGAGTTCGAGACCGAGTCCTAGTTCTAGTTCCTAGTTCCTAGTAGTAAGGCCAGGAGCTACTAGTAGTGTCCTTGCTCCTAGTAGAAATGCCCGTTGCTACTAGTAGCTTCTTGTTCCTAGTAGTAAGGCCAGGAGCTACTAGTAGTGTCCTTGCTCCTGGTAGCTATGCCCTTTGTTGCTAGTAGCTTTTGTACAAGTCATAGTCACAGACTCACAGTGACAGTTTGAACCCTTTGAACCTTGTTATGGCTAAGTAAGAGTGCTTCATGGATCCTAAACAAGAGGCGGCAGGCTTTGATACCTCGTTTGGTCGGCCTGAGGCCCAAAAACATCACTCGAGACTCTTTCTTCCAGGTGAGTTTGGGCTGGGAAGAACTTGAGAGTCGACTAGCGGCCACCGAGCATGGGGCGACTGGGGCGCTTACAGTAGAGCAAAGACCTTTCTTCCTTCTTTCGTTGTTTCTAATAGCAAGTTAAACAGGTATCATTGCGTCAAGCGTGCGAAGCCTGCCCCAGTCAACATCACCTCATTCAAAAGCCTCAAAGCTGCGTGTCTCTGAGCACAATTTAGAGGTGCTTTTCCAAATGGCAACATGACACCTTTCGGACTTTTCACTGTTTTTTTGAACATGTGTGACCTTCGAACACATGTTGAAAAAGCACTCGTATAACCAGGTTTGTTTCTATTCTTTATACTTGTTTCATATATATATATATAGATAATTTATAGTAGCGATGGCCTCCAACCTCCAGTACTAGTAGTAAACTTGCAAATGAATGTTGTTCGTTTGATCATACCGTTCTTGTGTCCAATTTCCATGAAGCTCCAGGTGTTAGTGCCAAAGTTGCAGGACTGGGCGGATCAGCGGATGGCGGTTTGTGTGCGAAATGGGGAAACCACAGACCACATGCGAAATGAAGAAAAGGTGCACTTTTTAACGCGAAAAGCATTGGCCATCGCTACTAGGGTGGAGGCCATCGCTAGTAGGTTCCCCTCTCTCTCTCTCTCTCCTCCCTCTCCCTCCCCATTTTGAGGCACATCCATTTCAAGCCTTTCTTGGTTTGTGAACTGGGCCATTCTAACAGTTTGCGGCACCTGCTGTATCAATTGTAGAATCAAGCAACAGAACTTGTGTGATGACAAACACACGCAGTACTGGATTACAGTAGGCAATGCCATTTGATTCTTGTCCATTGATGAACTTGACTTCTTTAGCTGCAGGAGCAGCGTAAGGCATGATCACCCAGAGCACCATGAACACCAAGACTTCTTCATGCAGATTTCATAAGTGTATACTTTTTGCGCGCATATTTGTGTGGCCGGAATTTCTGGATCATCGAACTGTTCACCTCCTCCCCATTCATTTGGTGAGGAGCATCCAGATGTTACAGATGTGACACCTGTGCCAGATGCCTACACACCTATCATTAAGGCCGAAGCTTTTCTTTTGCGTTCAGAGCACAGCCGGCTTCGGGCGATTCTGCAGCTGTCTCAGCACAGAGGATTCATTGTTCGTTGAAACCCTTTTTTCACTGCTTTGGTCCCACACTTCTCTGGCCACAGCATTGGCCACGGCATTCCACAAACAAATAACGCTCATTCTCCGACCGGGGCTCTCGTGGGCTCCGACCGGCCTTCCACGACCGAAGCCCTTCGCTCTGACTCCGTGGGCTCCGACAGTTGAAGCTCTCGACCATCGAAATAGACCTCCTCTTCGCGCGGCTGTCATCCATGTCAGAGGTGGGCGGGGTGAGCGAGCGAAACCGTGTGACGATGGAAAAGAGCGAGCGAGCGAGCTCGCATGTCGATCCTCTGGGTTGGCTGGTCTTGATCTGTGTGGTCAGTGGATTTATGGTTCACTGTCGCTATGTCGACCATTGGGACGGACTTCGGACCAACTCACAAGTGTTTTGAAATGTGTATTCTTAGGCCAGACAAGGGAGCCTGAAGGGTGACGCAATCCGCGTGCCCGGTTGCAGAAAGACAAACGTGTTGCGAGCGTCACTTTTCATGTAGACATTGTAGGTGAGGTTTGGAATGAAACAACAGAATCTGGAGAGTGGAGAGTTTGGTACATGACTCAATGATACTCAATGCTTCTCCGAACTTCCAAATCTGCAGCATTAGGATCCTCAGCCTCGAACTCGCGCAAAACGTGCAAAAATGGCGGGCTTGCGAGTGATCTACGGAATGCTGATTGGAGTGCCCCTGATTGGTGAAGAACCTCGCCAGATGGGTGTGCGAGCCAAGAGCAGTCCCAACCTTCATGAAGCAGAGAAAGCAGTGAGCCGGGCGGAGGCACAGTGGATCCCCTTCTTGGCCGCTTCCCAGTTATGTAGAGGAGGAAGGTTTGTAGGAACCAGTTTGGAGAAAATCACCTACTTTGTGATGTCCAAGCATGTCTGCGGCATTCCCAGTGCAGGCATATGTGAACGACTTGGAGCGGAGAGCAGATCAGAAGACGTTCCTTCACCAGTTCCCTCAGCCGCAAGCTGCTCCAGTTCAGCGACGTGGGCCGTGAGGGGCAAAAGGCTGTGCCACCTGGTACATCCTGGTACTGTAGAGGATTCGAGTGAGATGAAGCTCTTTGCGTAGAACAATTTTGAGTTCTGTGACCACAGACCACCGACCGACCGACCATGGTCGGGACGCCGACCGGCTGTCTCTCTTCCGTTCTTTTCTGCGCAATCAGCGGCACAATCTGGTTCCATCGTCCCTCTTGATTGTCAGGATCCACATTGGTCAAGATTCACCGATCTGGTTCAAAACTTTGGGCAAGACTGTAGTTAGGTGTATCATGATGTATAATATCTCCTGAGTGTATCCCATCTCCTGAGTGTCCAAATTTGGCCAAGAGGGTGCTGCTTTGATTGTGCACCAGGCCGTGCCCCCCTTTCAGACAACATGGAAACACGTTTATTGTCCGACAGCCAGTGCTGCCCTGACCTTGGCAAGTCCATTTGCATCATTTGTATATATAGAGATGCGCAAGCAATTCTGGGGGGGCCCTCGTTGTAAGCCGAAAGTTTGGGAAACTTGTGCAGAGGGGGGGTACGTGTCTCACGTATGCAGAGGTAGGTAGGAGCTGTTGAAGCGATGCGTGAATTCCATTGAATCAAAGAACCATTTGAGCACCTTTCATTGACAAAGCCGCTTGAGGAAGCAAACTAACATCTGATTCACGCATCTCACCTCAGCTCCCGCT